GTTTTGGCTCCAACACCAGCTTATGTCTTTGTAAGTTTTAAGTAACAGAAATGAAGAAGGAATAGCCTAGATTCTGCAGGAGCAAATTTAGATTTGAAAACATTTGCTATCAGTTGCTCTTGAGGGTGTTAACAACTAAGAAAACCAGAACCAACCATGTGAACAAAGAAGACATAATATTGAGAACCATATTTGGGTGGGAGGAAGGTGTTTTATTTGAACTCAGGGAGTGGAATAGAAAGTTCATGTTGATGACTGCATGAGACTCATGAAAAGATTCTTTTCTCATTTGCATGTCTTTGCCAAAGACTTTTATTAGAGTAAAATTAAAGTATGGACTGAATCCAGTTGTATGGAAGGAGGAACCATGAGCAAAGGGATCAAAACCAGGCTGGAGAAACCCACAGAGACAGCTGACCTGAACAAGGGGGAGCTCATGGACCCCAGTCTGATAGCTGGGAAACCAGCTTAGGACAGACCAGACCACTTGAATGTGGGTGTTAGTTAGGAGGACTGGGTAATCGATGGGGCCCATGGTAGTGGATCAGTATTTAGCCCTAGTATATGAATGGACTTTGGGAGCCCATTCTACATAGATGGATATTCTCTCAGCCTAGACACATGGGGAAGGGCCTAGACCCTGCTCCAAATGATATGACAGGCTTTGATGACTGCCCCCCATGGAAGGCCTCACCCTCCCTGGAAAGCAGAAAGGGAATGGGATGGGGGTTGGGAGGTCAGGAGAGGAGGGGAGGGAGAGGGAACTGGGATTGACATGTAAAACAAGCTTGTTTCCAATTTAAATAAAAAAAATATACGAAAAAGAAAAAAGAAAAGGAAAGTAAGTACATGTTGGAACAATTGAAAATTACTTCAACCCAGGAAAATTTCTTTTTTAATGAACTGGATTCACAGTCACATCTTTTAAATGTGTAGTTTGTTTCCTGGGTGATTTCATATATAAACTACCAGAAATTTAATTGTCTATGTGTAGAAATATACAACTATTGCCAAACTTATATTAAGCCTATAATGTAATTTTTAGTTGAAAAGACCCTTTAATTGTTTAACATTACATATGAAAAGTTTAAAATTATATATATGAAGTTATCCTTGCTATTTAGAATTGATGATATGAAAATAGCAAAATTACTTCATTGTTCTTAAAATAAAGAATATGTCAAGGCCATATATTTAATGTTTTAAGAATATTTAGCATTAGTATACAATGTGATATGCCTGTTACTTATTCCTCTCCTATGGAAAATTAGCATTAATATTAGTACCTGACATAGTTTGAATATGGTATCCCCAAAATATTTTGTGTTTAAGACTTAGATCACAGGAGGTAAAAAACATATTGGGAAGTGACTAGACTATGGAGGCTTGGGCATAATCAGTGTATTAATATACTGATTGATTTGTAATATGGCGTTATGTATGGCATGGAAAAAAGGAGGCTTGACATGATGTATATCACTAAGGGAAGACCTTTGAAAGATATGTCTTGCCACTCCTCCTTTCTGATGTCCTTAGCTTTCTGGCTACCATGAGGGGAGCAGTTTTCACCTGCCATATGCTTCATTCATGATGTCTCTACCTTGCTGTAGTCCTAAAAGCAATAAAACAAATACAACATGAATTACAACCTGTGAAACTGTTAGTCCAAATATATTCTGCTTTACATCGTTTTGTTCAGACATCTGTCACAGTGATGAAGTGTCTAATAGAGAATGCTTGGTAAGATGAGGAAAATGTAGATCTACTTGACCCCACCTGGATGGCATTGCACTACATGTGGAATTGGGTGGGGGGGATGGAAAGGGAGGGTGGTTAGGGTGCATGTGAGGGGGCAGAGAGGGTAAAATGGAGGGAGGGAGAGGGAACTGGGATAGACATGTAAAATAATAAATTAAATTTAAAAAATACAAAAACCACCATTGTCACAAAACTAAGTAATAGCAGCAGCATCTAGCCTTCTTAAAATCTGAACCTGGGGAAAGCTTCTTGCAAAGGGAGGAAGGAAAGTTGGAAGTTTTTAGAGAAAAGAAAACTAAATGAAGCAGAAACTTAAATCTACATAAAAAAAGGAAGAGCAGCAACAGTGTAAGTGTGAAGGTAAGGAGAAGCTGGTTTTCTTAGGACTGAGGAGATGGTTTAGGAGTTACAGTGTTTGCCTTGCAAGCAGAGGGATAGATTTCTGGAATCCACTTGAGAATGTAGATTTGGGGATGCAGAGGTAGCTCGGTGGTGAAGAACACCCAATGTACTTCCAATGACTGGGATCGATTCCTAGCATCCCCATTGTGGTTTCCAACAATTTAACTCCAGTTACAGAGGGCGTGATGCTCTCTCAAGTCCATTACAGGCACCAGGCATACACACGGTACAGAGACATATATGCAGGCAAGAAATATTTGCACATAAGATAAATCAATCAATCAATCAATAAAGGTTGGGCTTGGTAGTTTCCCTGTAGTGGCAGACTTGGAAAGTGTAGAGAGGAGTTACAAAGCTTAGCCATATTGGTGCCTTAGGTTTGACTGAGAAACCTCAAAGAATGGGTAGAAGAATGATTGAGGAAAGTTCTGAACCTTTAGATAACGATCACCAGTAGGTAAACATACCATATTCAATTATGTACATGAACATACAAAAACACATGCACACATGTCATATATATGTGTATATATATATATATGATATATACACACACATATATGATATACACATACACAGGAAATGAAAACAATGAAAAATTCTGTTACTCATATTTAATTTAACAATTTATTATTTTTTCAAGTTAATAGAAACAATGTATTAGATCATGGGTAGAATTGTGTATGTGACTGTATATGTGCTGATGTATGCTTGTACGTTCATGAACAAGTGAACTGAATTACAATAAAACAAGGGATAAAGGGATTTTAAAAAGATGAGGAAAATGTATTATTTTCAGTGTATTCCATTAGAACCCTAATTTATGTCTCAAAGAACAGACATATTTATGTTTAACTTTACTTGTACATATAGACAATCTTTAATTGAGTGCTTACTATGTAAACTACTGTTCCATCTCATCTTCTTAATAACTCTTTTGAGACATTTCTCATCCTAACTTACACAGTCCTTAGGCCCAGGATGTAAGGAATTGGCCATAGTATGCCCTGTTAATTCAAAGGCACTCTGGTGATTGTCCTTCTTTTATAACGGGGCAACCCTCAAACCAATAGCAATAAGTTTTTCTTAGCTTCTTATATGTCATACTTATAGCACACTCATATGTTTTCAATATGTTTGTAATTAAGATCCAAGTCTTACTTAGTTTATCCATTGTTTAATGTTTCTTAAAATGAATTTATGATGAGCTGGTATTTTAAGTTTTCTCAGCCTCCTTTAATTTAAACTCCCTATAATAAAGTACGTTATAGTTTTCAAAATTAGAAGAACAGTGGGGTAGATTGTAAGAGTAGATGTTGTTTATTAAGGTATCTTGTAGCTGTAGGAGTCCAACACAATGGCATCAAAGGCCAGAGAATGCATGAAAGTAGATCCTGTGATTGTGTATTCTAGATGACAAAGGTAGGTGCAATAGGGTCCCATAAGTTGCAACGGCTCTGGCATCATACTATATATTTAATACCTATATACTAAAGAGTTTGGCCTGTATCCCTCTGGTAAACTCATTATAAAAAGGTAGAGAAATAGATAAAACATGGCAATCTCTAACATGCCTAATTTTTCCCTGTGAGCTGGGGGTTAAGGGAGAGTCAAGATTTTCTTTGCTGTTTTTCTCCTAGGAAGAGACCATGTTTAGTGGGTTCACATAAACACTTCTTAAAAGTTGCATTAAATATATATTAAGAACACACAGGACACAAATTCAGGGCATAGTTTATAACACTATAGTATTTTATTCCATGGAGATGCCACAAAAGTGTGAAAACTCAATAACAATAAGTGTTTTTAATAAATGATTTAATGTCTCTCTATTAGTTACTAAATACCACAAAGATTTATGTTGTATAGAAAATTAAATGATCAAAAGATATCAAAATACCCCATCAAAACAATCTAAACCACATAGGAGGTTAGGTGATACTTGCTCTATAGTCCCTCTGACTTTTTGACCCCGTAGTGTCCTTCAGCTAATGGCTTAGAACACATAAAAACCACTTAAAGAAGCATATATACAATGCTGATAATTCTACTGTGTAGATGGGCAGGCTGATCCTGGACTTTTTTGAGACCCTAATATATGGAGAAGGATTTTGGTTCCTTGTCTAAAACCAGATATGTGTTTAGCAAGGGAAGACCTCTAGGGAGCTATGGTTTTCTTGATCCTGAGAACTCAACTGTTACTTGAAGAACTGTGGTATCAGTCACAAGGCCTTTGGCACTTACCTTATGACTCACATGAGATACACTCTTATTATCTTAGTGGAAAATTTATTGATTAGCTTCCTGATGACTGAATCCCATTGTATGATAATTTGTTTATTATGTCTGTTTTTTTCTTGAAAGTGTATATGCAATGCTATACTCCTTAATAAAATTGATTGAAATAAAGGCTAGCTTGTGCAAGGCCTTCAGGTCATAAACTTTCCTATCTTCTTTATTTTTCATCCCCTGGTACTTCCTCTTAGGGAATTTTCCACTAAAAAAAAAAATGGCCTCCGGGTACAGATTGTTAGTCCGTGACAACATATGAATATATACCACTAAACCACATTCTATCACAAATAATTTCATTCCTTCATTGTTTAGTCTTGTGTCATCTTCACAATGAGATCTAAAAACTGATTATATTTTCTCTAATATGATATATATATACATATATATATATATATATATATGGTTCCTGTGAATTTCTTAACACCATCAATAATAAGGACTGACTGTCACTGACAGTAGTAGCACATCAGATTATCATGACCAATAGTATCTGTTTATGAAGGACCTCGCATTAATATCTATTGTCTTGCTTTGTTGCCTTTCAGAAATGTTGGAATCTAACAATGTGATCACTTTCAATGGCTTGGCCAACAGCTCCAGTTATCACACTTTCCTTTTGGATGAGGAACGGAGTAGGCTGTACGTTGGAGCAAAGGATCATATATTTTCATTCAACCTGGTGAATATTAAAGATTTTCAAAAGGTATTTTAATTTTAATGTATATATACTTCAATTAGTTTTGAACACTGAAGTTTTTATGATATTCTGCAGCTACATAAGGACAACATTTTAAAAGGATGTTTTTTCCCCAGGCATATATGAAATGAACAATAACAATATACCAATAGATGTAGTGAGCCATAATGTCAATAAGGAAGAAATCATAGAACTGTTGATGGCCAGTATTTAAAAATAAGTAACAAAAACAAAAACAAAAAGCTGTAGCTTATTCTTCCATTATTATTCATTTTCTTACAGAAAAGAAAAATACCCTCCAAACCTAAAATGTTGGAGAAATACATTATATGTATTTCTATGAATTCATGTATTTGTATGTATTTGTATAAGTTTGCTCATCTCTTCATGTTGCCAGCTAGTTAAGGATTCATCAAGCAATTGCCGCTTGAGTCATCAGATGTACTTCTTGCATCTGTACATGATTTTATCAAAACGCAGGCACTCTCATACCCTTCATATATGTTTCTATGTTACATGATGTAACATAGATAAGTAATTTTGACAAATCACATGACCCATAATGCCGACAATATTTATAGTCATTCTTTACAAATAAGAACTTTAAAAACTGTCATCTAAAAATCAGGTTTCAGGACATTGGCATCAGATGTCTGCAATTTTGTTTATTTAGACTTAGGGGCAATGTGATTTTTAATAATATTCCTTTAGATTTCTGGGTCACTTCAATAATAAACTATATGAATTTTTACAACAAACACAAATTCAACAGAATTATTTTGCTATGTTTCCTTGCTATACCATATGTCAACCAAATTTCCTTAGTTTTCCAGCCTTAATTCCCCAAGGAACAAAGCCTCTCTATAGCAGCTTCTATGAGAACCACTGGGTGTACTTCAGCAAATGTGTTTGTTGGTTTCTCTGGGTTTGGCTTTGCTCCTTACCACTGAAGGCATTCATGTGGTGAGCTGAACTATTCGTGGAGAGCACATTGGATGACTTCATAAAAGTGAATAAACTATAAAAAGGTTTTGTTCTGGTTGGAGGATATTTCTCTGACTATGAAATAAGGATTTATATTTAAATTATCATTTCTTTAGTATGATATAACTTTATTTTTTATTCTTCTCTCATATATCACATCCTACTACATCTTTTCCCAGGCCCTTCCCCCAGCTCCCCCATGTCTCCCAAGGATATTAGCATAACGATGTTACTTTAAATCTGTCACTCTTCTCATTTTTATTACCTAAACACAAAAGTTAATGTACATAAATGCAATAAGCATAAATTAATATGAATAGTCATTAAAGTTACAGTTCAAATATTACATTTTATAGTAAAGTTTTTATGCTAAAATATACTCACTATTTCTGATTCTTGAAACTGGATGACTTTTAAATGTCCTCAGATAATAGCAATGGAATGATAAAATGTTCCATTCAAGGATTTTTTAAATGGCGAAAAAATAAGAATTTTGGTTTGGTTATTATCCAAAGGCACTATTCTTTATGAAGTGAATCAGAAATCTAGGACATTTGATATTTAACTTTAGGATGTTATATTTGTTAATATAGGAGGATAACTTTTGTTATTTTGCAAATTTCATTTGTGTATATCAAAGACAGGTATTTACATGATAGATATTACATTAGTTAAATGATAGATTAAATAGAGATAGATAGAAAGATAATTAGGTAGGCAGATGATAAGAGAGATATATAGAAAATATATGACCACATATTGCCTGATGATGTAAATTATGTATTTAACATTTTCCTTTATATGTATGTTATGATTATTTCTAATGAAATATATTGCGTCTAAAATTGAAAAGAATCAGGTCATCACAACAAAGCCCTACAATTTTATAAGTGAGACAAATCCAAGAGCCATATGTTTATATAGCTTGAGTACAACTTATCTAGGCCATAACTCCCCCAACATATACATAATAGGATTTTCTATGAGACAGACAATAATTGACAATAATTGAGTCAAGGAATAAATAAAAACTTAAAGGTTCTGGCAATTGTCACATTATCATTTTAATAGCTCTTAACCTTGAGTTTTAAATTCATATTCTAACTATTACAAAGATTAAGACATCTCATTAATAAAGGAATAATTAATGTTAATTGTATCAGATTATTGAAAACAGTGAACTCAATTTATATTTGGATTAAATTATCATAAAAACATACCAAATATAAATAATAGTGTAGTGATCTCTATAGGACATAGTATGGTATGTCATAAATAATTTTTGGATTTTTTGACAGTAAAAATAAATGTGGTAACTTAAAGGTGATCACTGTGCTATCATTCTTTTAGGCAAAAAGAATTGCATGATCAGGTTTAGGAGATTTAGAAAAAGATTATTTCTTGAAAATAATAAATATAGTCTACTTAGTCTAAATGATTAAGAAGAACATGCATAAACATAGAAATATTAATTAATGATATATAGTTCTTACCAGTATGCACAGGTCTCTGCTTTTAATTCTCAGAACTACAAAAAAAGTGTATAGTCATTATAAAGAACAAATGTATGGCTGGTAAAATGTCTCACCCAAAAAAGTGTGTGATAGTCAAGCATGGATGATGTGCCAGGGTCACAGCACACTCCTGTATTCCTAGCTTTTAAGAGGTTAAGATAAGGAGATACCAGTTAATTGCTGGTCAGCCAGTAAGGGCAAATCTATAAGCTCAAGGTTCACAGACCCACCTCAAAATAAGATGAAAAATTTTAACTTCTGGTGTCTATACATCCTCATCCACCCTTCAAATAAACACACACACACACACACACACACACACACACACACACACAGCAGGTCATGAAATGCCTTAAATAATGAAGTAAGAAACTAAGACATAGGAAGATAAGTATTTTTGGAGTAAAGAAAAAAGCAAAATGTAGTACGTATATAAAAAATATTTTATTAATATTGGACAGAAAGGAAAACACAAGATAAGCTTAAAATAGCTTAGTAAGAACAATCAAGACAAGAAAGCATCATGCCTTCTAAAATTAATATATATATATGTGTGTATATATATGTGTATATATATATGAATAAAATCTGTAATTTTAGCACAACTTAGAAGTTCACTGTTATCAGTGACATTTTATAAGTCTTAGTTTACTCTTGGCTAAAGAAACAATGTATTTTGTTATGCAGGCACATATGGGCAGAAAAATCACCTACAAAAGAACACACAAATTAAGAATTTAATGATAAAAAATAATGGTGTACCCACTTTCTTCTTAAACATCATATTTTTGATATGAGCAAGGCATTATATTATTTCAAAGACTCCTGACTCCTAAACTGTTTGTAAGTATGCTGTCTTTGGGGTTCCAATTCTCTGGATAGAAAACTGCCTGAACTTGTAACCATTCACAGTGAATTATCTTGAGGCTTCAAATGAATGGTGATCAATCTTCCTAAGGATGAAAGCTTTCTAACACACATAAATAATAAGCTGCCACCAACTCTGGGTTTTTATTTAGCATATGGCATTTCCCCCTTGACATGAATAAATATTACTGTGAAAAAAACTGATGGAGAGATAATATATTGTTCTTCCCAGTGCTGATAAAACCCATTGTAATTGTTGATGGACTTTGGAAATTTTGATACTAAAATTTAAATGAGAGTATGTGTATTGCTATTATAGAGAAAATATGTTCAACTACATAAGCCACTACTAGTAGCATTGTGTACTTTGACCAGATTCACAATTGAAAGAATTAAAACAGGCATGAAATCAGTTAACTAGATTAGATTTGAGTGATTTCTGTTATTTGTTTATTTTTTTAAACACTGCCTTGCTTTTGTAAAAGTCTGCCTTGATATCTAGTCCTTGTTGTCCCTACTTACTCTGTACAGGTAGCTCTGTCTGATATGACTCATTCTGCAACTGTAACCTAGCCTAGCCCACAACTCACTTTTTTTTTCTTTGATAATTTTTTTATTTATTTTGAAACAAGCTTGCTTTACATGTCAACCCCAGTTCTCGCACCTTCGCCTCCTCCCCTGTTCCCACCACAAACTCCCACCCCATCTGCTTTCTGCTCCCCAGGGAACAGACTTTCATGGGAAGCCTTCAAAGTCTGTCATATCATTTGGAGCCGGGCTTAGGCCATCCCCCATGTATCTAGGCTGAGGCAGTATCATTTATTTGTAGATTTTATATACTTACTGAATATATATCACTATATATAGGTAGCCCTGACTGACCTGACTCACTATGTATATGTAGTCTAGCCTAGCCCAGAACTTACTTTTTATATGTAGGCTTATATATGTACTAAATATATATAAAACATATACATATACATATACATTACATACAGGTAGTACTGACTGGCCTGACTCCTTGTGTAAATGAAGCTTTGACTGGCTGGCCTTGATTACTATGTATATGTAATGCTGGCTTTTCTGACTACATATATGCATATATGTACATACATACATATATAAACTTGGATTTGAACTCATGAGATATATGGAACACTAGCAAGTCTTTTTACCTCAGCATCACATGTACTAAGATTATAGCTAAGGGACATCATGCCCAGTCAAAGAAACAGGTTTTCAGAGCTATTTGTTTCTTTGTTTCCACTTTTATCTTTTCAAAACTTGTTATTCTTAAATATTCCTTATTTTCAGGTGAAGAAAGAAGGAAAGAGAGCAAAAGAGAAAAAAATTACTATATAAGCCATGTTTTACAAACATTTCAAGTCTCACTCTAGCATGCCATCCTGGAATTTCAGAGTACCCTAGTGTTAAATTTTCAAAGTCACTATTTCATGATAAATACTGAGGAATTTGGAGGAACATGAGACATGCTCTCTGCCAAGTTTCACCTAGATCCTCATATTTTCCAAGGATGACCTTCCTTTCCACTCAGGGTAGCAGCTCTTTCCACATTGTCCTCTTTGGTCTATCAATCACATTAATTTCTTCCCAACTTTTTCATATGGAGCAAAGAATAGAGGATAGATGGAGAATGCATAATGTCAGTACACAGAAGTTCATTAGCTATTATCTAAAGAAAGCCAAGTTAGTGCGATTCTTCCATATAGTATTTATTTTCCTTAGTTATTCCAAACTAATACAAAAGATGATAAAATGCTGGGTTCCTTGGCAAATTTAATTGGCATATAAATGATTCTTCTCTGTCCTTAGATTGTGTGGCCAGTATCTTATACCAGAAGAGATGAATGCAAATGGGCTGGAAAAGATATCCTGGTAAGCATTAATCTGCTAAATAAATTTAGTAATCTCTTAAATAATATACTACTATATGATATCTTCTTCTCTGATATTCTTTTGAATATCAATCTTTACTTGTGGACTTAACTTTCGAAAGAATAAGTGATATCTCTATTATGTAAACATAATTTTACATAAACAACATAAGTAATCAAAACAATGCTAATAAAACATAACTTCATTAGTGATTTACATATTAGATATGAGAAGAGTAATTTTAAAATGTGGTATTGTAATATACAGATTTATATGAAAAGGAAATTTTTCTGTGCAGGTAGAATTATGTGTGTTGAATCATATTTGTTCCTTTGAATGATGAGGTTTTTTTTCTGTGTCACCATAAAATTACCTTTTATTTTTCTTTTGCACATTATATTCTGTTTCTTTCTTTTTTTCTTTGTTACTTTTTTATTTTTTATTTTTCCATTCTTCCTGCTATTTTTCAAATAAATATTAACACATAACTATATAGCCTACAGTGTCCTAGACACTATGGAATTAACCAATGCTATAAGAGTTTTACACTTTACTGTTTGTTAGGTAAGTGACCTTTACTTCTTTAGGTAACTTTTGTTAATAAAATTAAGTTGGAAGTGGGTTGCAAGTATTATTTAAACTCTGAACAAACCATAAAAATAGTTCAATTCACAAATAAATAGATTGCCATAAATTCATTATTCATTATGTGCTCCATTTTATTATTGATCAATGTTTCAGAATATCTAAACCACAAAGAAATAGCTAAAGGTCTTATCTAATTTAATTGCTAGCATTAGAAGAAATCCATGCTATGTGTTTCGTAAGGCATACATCTGCTGTAAGCAGATATTTATCAAAGACAATTTGCTTGTCAGCCCCTTCCTAAAAAGTAGAGGAAAGTTTTGAATTCACTAGTAAAGAGCAACTCCATCAATTATTATCATTGTCCCTGCTGAAGGAAGATTGATAGAGGAACAAAAAACACAGAAGTCACTATCCTTTTTGTATGTGTTTATTAACAGACATTGGAAATCTGTCATAGCAAATTACCTGCCAAATATAGGCAACATATAAAAATTAATAATGAGATTATTTAAAGGTGAAACCCTACTCGATTGGATTTGTAAATGGGTGGAGAAATCAGAACACAAAAAGAATATGAGGACAAGTGGAGATTTACAGCCAAGAAGTAGGATGAGGGTTGAGAGGTAGGTTAGCATGATAAAACACCCAGGTTAAAGAGAATTGTGACAAGGGAACCTATAGAATTCTTTCTGAGGATAGACCAGAGCGATAAGTATGCAGGGTTTTGGTAGTGAAGTTGATGAGATATTAGGAGCCAAGGATGTTCTTATAAACTTGCCAGAAGCACTTTTGCTTGCCAGAACAATACAGAGATGTACATAACCTTGAGGTGTGCTCTTCAAAGAAACCTAGCTGTAGTTAGACCAAAAGTCGGTGTGTATCCATTATAATCTACAATATCCCATTTACTAAACCAGCAAATAAAGAAATGCCTAATATCTATTCAAAACCAATTCATTCAATTTTTTAGAACATTTTAAGTTTGATATAAGAAGATTAAAATATTGTTTCTCTTAAATGAGAAGATGAATCAGCTGCTCTATGTTGCAAGCAGAGGGCAACATAGATTAGATCTTTATGACCTAAAGAAAAGTCCTGAGAGGTAGAGCACTCCCAGAATCCATCCTGAAGTGAGAAAAGAGAGGCAGACACTTGAAGCTCATTGGACATCCATCTAGCCTATGAGTTTCATGTTCAGTGAGAGACCCAATGTCACACCACAAAGGTGGAGAGCAACTGAGGAAAGACTGATGAGAAAACATGTCTCCATCCTTCATTTCTACAAGTCCTAAAATGTAAGCATATCTTCAAACACACGTGCAGTCATCCACAGTAACAAGCACCCTTGATACATACCACCTTCACAAAACATAACAAGAAAAGAATGATACCTTTGATACCAATAGGAAAATTTATATTTGAATTATTCCACCAAAACAGAAATGACTACAACTAGTCCTGCACCTGTGTCATACTTTTCTAGACTCATGGAGACATTAACTCCAGTAATGACTAGCTTTCAGTATTCCTGAAAGATAAAAGGAGCATACAGGTGGACTTACTATGATATTGAAACTTATGATATTAAGTACTTTAAAAAAACAGTGCTAAATATTGACCAAAATTGGTATCTTGTTATAGGTACTGGAGTTGTATATAGTAACTGAAAACCTTGGCGTAGCCCTCTTTTATGATCTGGACCACATTAGTATTATATGGTTATCAAGTATCAAAATGATTTTGTGGGAATTTTTCCAACAAGTTATCTTTGGTTGCATGAATGAATAAGTATATTCAGTTGTCTTGATGGAAGATTATTCTGTTGAGATTTTACATGGTTTCCAAATGATTCATCTCAACATCTTATCTTTTATGGGTCTCTCTCTCTATGACTCTCTGTATCCCTGTCTCTGTTTCTGTCTGTCTCTCTCTCTCTCTCTAATGTTTTGATTTCTAGTTCACATGTAGCTATTTCAGCTACTACAAAAATCTCTTGTCCTCAAAATCTCCTAGTATGTAATATAATCTTAAATTCAGAAGTGCATCTGCAGGAAAGCAACCTCAGATTTTCAGTTTGTTATAAATGTTAATGGACTTTATAGATTTAAAAAAGAATTAATAGTTGGACTTTGCTTTTTCTGGTTCACTATTCTGGCGGTCCTTCATTGTGTGGTAGAGATAGATGCATCGAAGTCTACTAAGTTTCTAAAACTAACAGGTTAACAGTATGAATTGGTAGCAAACTAAAACCATGGAGATAAGTATGTAGGAGCAGTACTTGAATATACACTTTCATATTTCTTTTAGTAAGGCAATTTTATTGGGACTTCTTAATTCTCCCCAGGAATTTATATTTGATAAAATAAAAACACAATTTTATTTCAATGAAATGTTTTCATTTTAGTTCTACTTAACATTAAAGTATGTTCCATAATATTCTTCTGTTAATGCATCTGGCTCTTTAATACTGACTTTCCTTGCCCAGATATTAAAAGTACATATTTAAATTTATTTTATTTGATGTTCAACCTCATTAAGGCAACACCTCAATGTATATATTTTTATTAGATCCATTAAATGTTTTGTTACTGTTAGATTTTAATTTCCCTACCTTTTTCTTTACATATGATTTTGAGATAAAGATTAGATGACTACTTAAGATTTGCAACATTTTCTCTTGATAAACATAAGTAAGAACCATTTTTATTTTAAGAAATAATATAAATAATTTGAAAGAAAGATTGAGAGGAAAGATGTATTTCATTCAACACCTTATTTGTGCAGTAACACTTAGGCAGTTTTATGGAAACGCTGTACTGTCTCTTGAGTAAATAATAGTCAGTGGAGATTTGTGGATAGTAATCTTTTCAAAGTGCTCTTGTGAATCTGGAAACCACAAGGATGAAACATATGGGCATGTAGCCATCAGAACTTCAAGATAGAATGGAAATCACAATAAAAAGTGACCTTCACATTTACAAAAATATAAACTATAATTTCCTTGTGTGTGCCCTGTGGTTTCTAAAATGTGGGTCACCCTTTCCTGTCTGGTTGCTTCCACAATTCTCTTGGAAATAGAATGTCTTGAAACAAATCATCTTGGGAAAGTACTGTCTTGTCAGTACTCAACTGACTGCAGGAAGAAAAGTGAGACAAGAATAGTCAGTAATATTATACACCTTGAGAATATAGCATTCCTAACATGGCCAAGAGAGTCTTAATTTCTGTCTGAAATGGCATGATCACCCATAAGTAACCATATGTTATTACATTGAGCTTAGATAGATACTGCCTCTGAATATAGTGTCATAAGTAAAGTAACCATATCCCTATTCTCCTGTGCATTTTAGGAAGTTTCAACTCATTATTACTCTGCTCCAATTCACAAACATACATTAACAGCAACTATTGCACAGAGTGAAGGTTGTGGTGAAGAAACAGCATGCCCCCACCAACTCATGCATGCATACACACACACACTCTCTCTCTCTCTCTCTCTCTCTCTCTCTCTCACACACACACACACACACACACACACTCTCTTTCTCTCTCTCTCTCTCTCTCTCTCTCTCACACACACACACACACACACACACACACCTTCATCTGTTGTCATTCTTCTGTTAGTAAAGGACATTTCTAGCAACATTAATTTGAGCATGATGCTCTTTTCTTGCAGAAATGAGTAGAATATATAAAACATGCTGTCCTTTTAGTACACCTCATTCCTTGATGTGTCAGTGCTAAACTTTAATATCACTACAATATTTTTTTAGAGGTATGAAATGATCGTGACTTTTACAGTAACTATTACTGTAGAGATGCTAGAAAATATGTAATATATTTGGTATTAGAAAGGTAAGCTGATGACAAAAATAAAATATGATCTGTGCATTTTGAATGCTACATTCCATTCTCATTTTCTGATATTGCCAAGTTTTTAAATGCAGTGTGTTATTCACAGTATGCTTCTCTTGGTGGCTTAAAATCCTTGACCATGCTTTGCAAATGCAAAATGAATTTTTGCTAAGCTGGTAAAAGAATCTGTTTTGAATCAATAGCTCTCTGAATCCTCTTTGTTTATCCTACTAACCCATCTCTCTTTGCACTGTTTCAATAAAACCAAATGGCAACCGTATGACTGCTAGAAATATTTTGAACATCACTGGAAATCAAAATTTCAACCATCTGAGAGGGAACCAAAAGGAGCAGATTCTCGGAATTCTTTCCCAGATACAATTCAGAGAGTATCACCATGCACCTGGGCCCAGGGCTGCAATTTCGAGGAGTTTGTTTTCCCATTCTTAACTGTTATGAACGTTTAAAGCTATAGTGTTACCAGAGTGATTCAGATTACAGGACCTTATCAGCATTAATATTTTGATAATTAACACAGCTGAATTCATACTTGT